TCGTTTATATTTGACATAGCAAAAGGGAAATCCACAACCAAAACCAGGAAAATAAATAAATAAATAAAACAGTGGGTATATTTAAGCCTGAACATTGCAGCGGGGTTTGTGAGGTTTCTCCATGGTAACTTTGACCCTTGCGGATTAACCATGTGTCAGTCACAACTTTTATAAAAGAGGTGCAAGAATGTCATGAAATTCAGCCATGTGCAAATAAATAAATAAAGCCATCACCACGAAAGACCCAGCTCGTCCAGACGCAGCTAAACACTTGTTCCGAATTTTGTCAGAAGGTTTTTGAAACCTTTAGATGTGGAAACGATTTCCACATCTGAATTCAAGGCTTTGCTTTTAACAGAATAAAGAATCATTTTAGGGTGCATACCGACATTACACTAAGAAGTTCAGGGGGATATACTGGGTTATAAATGGCCACCTGATCTAACTCAGTGATGTAGATGCCAGGAGCCCAATTTAAGGTAAGTATTGGGTAGGGGAGGGGTGGGTGGATCAGGGTAGCAGCTCCACTGTGGGGTAGGTAAGTCCTGGGAGGGGGGGGAGGTCCCCTCCCACCCCCAACTTCCAGAGCCTATTTTGGCCCCCCAAATCCCCGCCTCCTATCCCCAGATGAACAACACCCTATGGAGACCTGTGTGGTCTGAATGAGTGTTTAATTGCCAATGCAGAAGCCAAACTTCCAGGCAAGGCAGTCAGTCCTGTCAGTAACAGTATCAATTTACACACAGAGTAAAAATCTAGTTAAAAAAAAAAAAAAGGCCGGGGGGGCAAGAAATGTGTCTTTTAAAAAAAATCCAAAAAACCTTCTCTTTGTCTCTTTTAAAAAAAATCCAAAAAACCTTCTCTTCCTCCTCTATATCTTCTTATTTCTCTTCCCCCCCCCTTGTTTAGAAATATGTTACTCAGCTTTAATCCTTAATAAGTTTCAACCTTCATTCTATTGCACACAACAGTTCCAAGTTCCAACCCAGAGCCAGGGGGACTGCAGCAAGTGCAGCCCTCTAAGAACAATAAAAAAACCCAAGATGCATGCAAACAGTCATAGGAGAAGCAACGTATATTAAAGTATAAGCAACACCAGGGTCACCCGGAGGGCAAGGATTTGAAACGGGTTTTGTTATTCTGCAGTTTCTGGAGCACAGTAATATCAAGTATGATGTTGGGATAATGAAAAGTGACAGGCATAATCTCTCCTCTCAGCTTGGGCTGAGCATGATGTTCAGATTTACTCAGAATTTCAAAGTCTGAACCGCACCCAAACCAAACTATCATATTCTTTCCACCCTGCCCCCTCTAGCCTCATTGAATCTACAATAAGGAATTCTCTGTGGAAGCCAAGACACAAACCAACCGGGGGGGGAGGTTTGCTTTGGTGATTTTTTTTTTTTTTTTGGGGGGGGGGGGGGGGGGCGTGTGGTGGTGTGTGGAAGGGGGAACAGCAAATGAGCAGAAAGCTTTTCAAATGGATAGTGTAATTTTGCAGGACTTCCAGACTGAACAAGGTAAATGCATATCACAAGGAGAGAAGTGAGCTGTGCTGAGCTGTCTAGGACTGGGAATGGATTAATTTACAGCAAATTTATCCATATTTTGTGCTTATCTGCGTTCTAAAGTTACTTGAGGGGAATGGCTCTTCCAGGATCTCATTCTACACTTTCGCATACATCTCCTCAGAGTTACTGCAGCTCTTGGTAGAGCAATATCTTCTATTAGACCAAATAGATATTTGCAACAACAACAACAAAGTCTTTATTTGCAAGCTTTCCAGCACACGTGCCCTTCTTCAGGCATAGGAGAGTGCAAAGATTGTAAAATTTCTCCAGGTAGAAATGAAAATTCGTAGTTCACAGGAGAGCTAAAAGGTGTTGTAAGTTCTCCTGGTTGGATGCCCTCTATCAAGAGTTCAGATTCCTTTTGCCTGTAGACCAACACGGCTACAATGTGGATACCTGCATAAGCACATCCTTGACCACTGTTTTCAGCTCCTTCTGGCATTGATTCAGCTGTCACTCAATAGGAGTAACTATCGCTCTTACCCTAGACTGCTACCGAAATGTTCTCATGTGTAAAGCGGAGTTGCACTTGGAGAAAGGCCCCCCAAAGCATTACCTGTTATTGCCACTCAGTGATCTCATAGCAAGTTTGCTCATTTTCTGGGTGGAATAGGAGGGAGGGGGGGCCGAGGTGGATTCTGACTGGTGTCATGCAAGCTTATACTGGAACCAGACACCCGAGCTGATAATACAACAGTAAAAATTCTGCAGCTGAAATTCAGTTAACAGTTCAGTTGAGGATGTGCTGAACAGAAAAGAAACAGGTTCACATATTGGCAGAATTCTTAATCAAGTTCCACTTACGACATTGTTATTACTTAAGGTGATTGTGGTGATGATGCCTGCATCAGAAAGACATTCATATTTTTGGTTCTTTGCTGAATTTACAACTAAAACTACCAGCAGTTCTTTGTTTGCAAGAAGAGTCAATTTAACGTGGTGTTACTGAGGGGGAATAGACAGAGAAACCCACAATGACATCTTTGGGACCTCTTTAGAGAGGAGGATCCTCTCTAAAAATCCAGGGATATGCATTCAGCTGCCTTAAGCTTTGCAAGTAGCCTGATCCACTTGCTGTGCTGAGTTCTTCTGGTTTAGCTCTGAGGCTGTTCTAATTTATACCACGGTGCAACAACTACAAGGGGCTGAAAAATCATCTGAGAATTAAAACATGGGTAGTTCTATACCACACTTCTTTGTTAAGTGAGACACCTCGGCCTAGTTGAACTGAAGTTGGGACTGCATTATGAATGCAGTACAAGATAAGGGTGGCTGTATGACAGTGGCCTAACTGAAGTTGGGACTGCATTATGAATGCAGTACAACATAACAGTGGCTATGCGACAGTGGCCTTAAGACTATATTTGTGCTCACTGGGGATAAAATCTTGTCTGCTGACTCCTGAGTTGTTGCACAGAATCCAACTTTTTTAACCCGTTCCTCCAGTATCGGTTCTGTTGCCTGCTGTTTGGATTGTATATGTAAATTGTCAACTAACACAACATTTTAATGACCTTCAGATTCTTTATGCACTTTGCCTGCTACCAAGGTCCAAGGAATTTCAAATTTCAGTGATTTCTGGACATAATTCCTAGATATCAACATCACATGCTGAGAGCCTTTAACCCTTAACTATAGCACTACTTGCAGATGAATTCACTGCCATAGTCTGTCAAGCATGCACTAAAATCCTTAGACTTTGTTGCCACATAACAAATTTCCAAGCACAGTGGTACACACACAGTGCTTGTTACAGCATAGTCCAATATTACTCTTTTCACTCCAGTTGTTGCCAATATACTAATTGCCAGCAATGAATTTCTTGCTACAGAAACTGCACTTGTACTACTCTTGTAATAAAAGGTCATAAAGAAATAAGCAGACAAGCATTAAAATGGAGCCCATGCCAGCCTCAGAAAAAAAAATCTCATTAAATTCATGCATATTTTTTGCATAACTTTTCACTATAAAGTTGATAAGAAAGGAATATCCTTTACGCGTTTGCTGCTTTGCCCAAATCTTTGTATTTAAGATAACTGTTCCTATCATAGTAAAGAGTGGGATAGCTGTGATATACATTACACATAATTACATGCACACTCCACCTCCACCCACACCCTATATTCTTGTACAAGTGACTTAACCCAGCAGGAAAAGATGACAAATGATAAGAGAAGTTTCTATCTGCATAGAATAATCAAATGAAGCCAGAGACGTTTATTTAAATCCAACAGACTCTTAAATAGAGACAGGCACTTTTGGGAGTGAAAGATCCATCTTTGAGAGGGCATTGGGGAAGATTATTCTCTGTTCAGAAACACGCTACTTCCAGCTTCCACAGTCTTGAATTTATTTTCACTGGCCAAAAGTATTGCAAAAAATATGCACGAGTTTAATGAGCATTTTTATGAGGATGGCATGGCCTCCCTCCCTCTTTTCCTTGCTATGAAGAGGAAAAGAGGGAGGGAAATAGCTGGCTGGAAGATATTCATTGAAAGAAAAGTTGAGGGAAAAATAGTAATTGTTTTTCATATTTTTCCATGTTCCAACCATTCCTATTACCAACTTCATTCAATATTTTCTTGAGTAGAAAAATGCTCACTGGATTTTTTTCCCACTATAACTCCTTCGATTTCAAAGCAATACTGCAGTAAAATGCTGTTGCAAAAACCAACTTAACAGCATAAAGAACAAAGATACTCCCTTCTCAATCTGTTGGGAATTATCCAATTATACATTTTTATTAGGGCATTGCTGTTTTATCACAATAAAAACCTTTTAACAGACATAGATCAACTGCAATGAAACTTTTCTTGGAAGAAGTTTCTCTGGATGGACTTTTTTTGAGCCAGACAAGGGAGAAATAAACCTCAGGGCAGTGTCTGAATGTAAGTCTCCTTCATCGCATGAGAAAGCTCCAACCACCATATTATTAACCTACCCTAGGTTGAACAGCTCATTTTGAAAATAAACACATAAATAAAAATATAAAGGTCTTGGTTTATCTCAAGGCAGAATGAAGCCAAATAACACAACCTCCCTTCTATAAACAGATGGTGAACTCTTTTTTTCCCCTGATCAGCTCATATGAATATGCAGCAATTCCTATTAAACCTATTGCAAGCTATTCAAATGCATCACTAGGAAAATATATCCTAAAGGGCCTCAAGAAATGCTTGCTTCTTCACCTTTTCTTCCATAAGTACACTGACCTACTTTTTTGCCCCAATAAAAACCGATATGATATCTGAAAAATAAGTAACAGGATAAACAAAAGCCATATTTTTCAGTCACAAATATCAGAGAGGTCACCGCTAGCAATATTCACAGTAACATCACCAGCAATACAGAGAAGCGACTGCAGATGTCAAAAGGTTGCTCCAGTCAGCCATGATGATAGCATAAAGCAAAGATTTCATTTGCACTTACCAGTTTATGGGAGAGCTGAATGGTAATCAGAGGAGATCCTGACAGATTATGAGACAGTGTCGGTGGAGGTTCCACTTTCAGGGAGATAAGATAGCTAGTTGCTGAAATCCTGTACCCTTTATAAGCCGTAGCTTCAGCAATCCTTGGGAAGAAGCAACAGAAATATTAGGAAGTGAATAAAGTGGTATTTTAGCATTTGCAGTTCATACCAATATTGGACAATTATATCTAATGAAGCGTTTATATGTGCATCTAATGAAGAATTTAGACTGAAGACTTAGGATAGAGCCCAGCTCCCCTCCTGCATGCCCAAGCAGAGAGACTCTCACTGACCAGTGGAGTGCAAGCCCTATTGTTGCCCATTAAAAAAAGCTGAAAACGTTAAGCTGGTTGTATCAAATGCTTTCCTAATGCAAGACATCTAAAATGAAATTGCATTTGGAGTCGGTTTAACCTCTTGACTGACACATTCATAAAATAAGTCTAACAACAAAGAATGCATCTGTTTTTAGCCTGAAATGAAAGACCAGATCCCCAGCTGGTGTTAGCCAGCATAGCTCCAAGGAAATCAATAAAGCTCTGCAAATAAAGCTCACACCCTGACCCACTACAGGAAAGTTAAATAAGATTCATTTCCCTTTGAGTTACACAGCTCAACAGTCGTTCTCTTCCTCCTTCCACAGTTATTCTTTGTTCACCCTCGGTGCCCTCTATTTACATTTATCAGAACTGACCCTAGACTTCTGCGCAGTTGCTATTGACCTTCTTCATTATACAAATCTAGCATGGCAGATAAAAATCCACACGCTCTACAAAAACCCATGCATGTGTCTGCATGAAACCATCCAAAGGTCAGCATGTACCATTAATAACTTGTTTTTTGAGCAAAACTTTTGTATATCTATGTCAACTACAAGACACCAGGGCCACACTATTCAATGCTCAGATCCCAATCCTGCAGTCATATCTATATGAACAGAGCTAGGAATCTCCCCCCTCCAAGTCAATTAAGTTTGACATGGGACATAGGACATGGGTGGGCCCTTGAAGATTCCCTTGCAAGATCAGGTTAGCAGGCACAAGTTACTGGGAACAGCTTTAGAGATCAGAAGACTTGCTATCATCAGTATTTCTTTGCTTTACTTAGCTTAGCTCTTTTACTCTTGTTAATAAGTTTGTGTGAAAGTGCCTTAGATCATTAAAGAGAGTTATTCAAAGTGATGGGCTGATGCAATGCAGGAAAGATAAATCCATCTAACTAAAGAGTACCTTTCTAGCAGAGAGAAAATTTGCCGTATCTATATACACAGAGAGAGCGCGCAAATTTTCTCTTTGCTATGTATGCATTTATATATTTGCCACATGTATTTGCCATTTGCTATTTATCTAAAAATATGTATTTGCTATTTGTCTAAAAAACATGTTTGCATTTGGAGGATATTACCATTCAGACGAGGACACTGGTGAAGGCCAGGTTGATCAAAACTCTTATTAGGAAGCCAGCCCACTAATTTTTGTGGCCCTCATTAATTTGACAACATATAGTACAAACATTAAGAAGTGTTCATTTTAGATAAAAATCCTCGTGTCAGCAAATTTCAAATCTAAGGGACCATGTGCTTCAGAAGACCAGAGACCCAAGTTGCAGAATAAAATTTGGACACTAATTTGGAAACATCTCAAATGAGCAAGAACAAATACCAGCTGTACTAGCAAAGCAGTCTCCATCACCAAATCTTTAGCTTTAAATCAAGCAAATAGTTAAATAATATTTATAAGCCACGGTCTGCTCACTGTTTATCAGCTAGGGTGGCAGCGAGTAAACATTCAAGCCTTTTTGCCAGCTCATGAGAGTCATGTCACTCATCATCTACACTACAATCTTACTTTTGTTAAAAACACACTGCTTTAACAACCATACCACATCTCAGTAATTTATTGATGTCTCTCTCTCACTGACCGAGAAAAATCTCATTTCAAATACTAATGATTTCAGTTCACTTATTTTGAACTCAGATTTGCGTAGGATCTAGTCCCATGCTATAGCAGCTAAATGATATTGGCACCATCAGGGATTATTTCTGCTTGCGCTGAAATCAGAGAGTTATATGCATGTATGAGGACAGAATTTGCCCCTCTGAGTATAGAGAATTAAAAATCAGAGACGAAGCGGCAAAGACAGACCCAGGTGAGTACCCGAGAGTTCATCTCCAATGTTTGGAAGCATTTGGATTAAGCACTTGTGTGCACTAAACAACCTGAAGTTCAAAAGACATTTGGAGACAGTTTTATTTAATCTCTGATTAACGTTTTGTAAAGCTGCAATAGGAGACCCCAAGCAAGACTTGGATCAATTTGGATACATGTGGAAATAACTGAAACAGTCAAAAAATAGTATTTCTGTAGTGCATGCAAACCACTCATGAATGTCAACTTCTCCCTTACAACTCTGTCTTACAGAAAGGGATGTTACAAGGTAAAGGGCCTGTACCCTGATTGCCTTCATGGTGCTACTCCAGATTTACTTAGGAGTATCACTAAAAGCAGAATCCAACTCAAAGCTTCCCTAGGCTTCAATTTCCTTCCTAAGGAATCAAAGCCAAGTCTCTTTCAGAAAGCTCTGGTCAGATCATCTGAAAATAGAACAACCAAGTGGCAAAACCAAGTGGCCAAAATATTTCAGGAGTTTTAGCATCTACCACAGGATAGCCAACTTTTGGCCTAAAGAATTAAGTGAACAGACTATAAAAGTTATAGGTACCTGGGTAGCCTAAGGCTAAAAGATCTGGGGGGGAAAGGACATTTCAAAATCACTGCTCTGGGGAAACATTAGTATTGTGATGAGACATGAAAGAAAGATGTAATGGCAATATAACCACCAGGGAAAGAACAGTGCTCTTATTTTTCAAACATTCCTCAGATATTTGGAGCTCGATTCAACAAAGGAAAACCGCCAAGCCAGCATTCCTCATATTATTAGATTTCAAAACAGGCTTCTGGACCAGGACATCTAGATCTCTACAGATATGATTCTGTAATATTAGATAAGTTGCAAATAATTCAGGTAGGCCAGGTTAACATAAGGTATCTTCCAGCTGCTTCTAAAAAGAGTTTCTCTTAAAAATACATGTTATGGCCTGATCGTTCTCTCACAAACATCAGTGGTAATAATTCCATATACTTCATTAGGAATATGGCTGGGACCTTGGGATTGCCATGTTCCCTCTGCTGCAGTTGACATGCAAGAATAAAGAAATAGTGTAAAAATGGCAGAATAGAGCCCTGTTGTGCAGGTAGATCCCTGTGCAGAATTGGGGGCAAAGACTATAGAGAGAGCCTTGAAGTTGCATGAGAATAGTGATAGGTTAGACATACTTAGACACTGTCTTTTTCCTTGCTAATAACTTTGAGCCAGAAGTCAAACCCACATGAATTCTTTCTCTCTGGGAGGTTAAAATTCTGGCCTAATTCCCTTAATAAATAATAGCAAATCACGCATCTTGAAAACTTAAATCTTCATAAATGATTGCCTGTGCTTCTCCTTATCAGTAAGAAATACTGTATGCCACAGATATGGTTCCTTCACACACTACAGCTAGCTGCCTTCTTTAGAGGGTGCTTGGTATTTTTTTAAACAAATTAAACACATCATGCAATTCTTTTGTGCCCGTTGAGTCATCATCTCAGTACGACCAGCATTTGGCCCCCAAGCTGTGAGCCATGTACTGGTTTAGCAAGTCACCTGGTACAGCTTGATGGGAGGAGGCCCCTGAAATAAATCATTTAGGGTCCCACAGCTTTTTTTTTTCTTTTGTCACATGGAGTCATGGTATGGAAAAGACTGAGAACTACTGATCTAATCTGTTGTTGCAACTGAGATTCAATAAATAAATAAATTTAGGCTGGCATAACAGGAAAATGTAATGATTTACATGAGCGTCCTTGCAACATTCCCCAGGGAACTAGCTTTCTGAAAGCTATATTGCTGCTAGTTTACTTTAGCTTATCTACTAATGATTTCATTGGCGTAGCATATAAAACAAAAAGGTCTTTGATGCATTGTCCAGTTTATTATTATAAAATTAGTTTACAGGTTTATGGGAACAGGACTTAAAACAATGGTTAAAAGACAGATGTTACATTTTCCTGCCATTTTATTTAAATGCAGAAAGAAACATATTCATATATGTTATTCAAAAATTGAAAATATTCAATGAATATCAGATCTGATGGATAAGCAATGTATGTAGAGAAAAAGAATCAGAGGAAATGCATCTTAAAACAAAGCGTGTAATATGAAGTTTACTCACTTCCATTGAAGTCAATGGCCCAGTTTCCATAAGGCAATGCCTCTCTGATCTAGACAGACTATAAGGTGAACCTCTACCTTGTTTTCTTCCTGACTTCATTTAAAAATGGCTAACTGCCTCTCTGAGCTCCTCTGCCACCCCGGACAAAGGATAAAGGTTCAAAACATCTCTTAAACCAGTTGTAAAGAAAGCTTGCCCCCCACATGTGCTTAGTACATTGCTAAAGCAATCATAAAACCATGACAGCATGAGTTGTTCTAAGATACTTACTTGGTTTCCATAGGGTTGATGTTATGGAAGTAATAATGTATGTTGTGGTAAAGCAGGCCCACGATGGTGATCCATGCTGTGAAAAAATCAAGAGAAGTTATACTTCTGTACAACAACCCTGAGCTAGACATTTTTCACCTAGATTCAAAATTCAGTATTAATTCAGAACCTTGACTTGTGTAGACCTTCACACCTGTGCATAAATGGAAAATGTGCTTGCTTCCCTAAAGAAATGTGAAGGCAGACTGCAGTCTGCAACATAGGGTTGGGAACAGGTACCAGAAGCATTAGGGAAGGATGCTTGACCTCCAAACTCTATTCTTTCACTGTGAGCAAGCTGTTAAAATTAATCTATTGTAAAGCCACCCCAGGACCACACACAGTGAGCAGTGGCTGTTTGATGTACCAAAGTCTAAGTATCAAGAATGGCTTACAATAATCCAAAGGACTACTTGACTACCAGCAACATTCACATAGATGAGTAGTTTTTGTTTCTATTGTTGGTTTGCTGTCTGCATATGGAGTATTTATGGCTGCTTCAACATGAGTGAAGAGACAGATGCCTGTTTTACAAGTGTCAACCATGCAGATGTCCTTTATTGCCTTGCCTGCTGGATTCCAAGTATTTATAATGTCAGCCATTCAAGATAGAATAATACATTGTAAACCTAGTTCATTTGAATAGCCTAGTGATGTGGCCTGCTAGTTGAGTGTGCCCTTAATTGAGTTTTAGATGGTTTCTAAGTCCCTGGCTGATGCAAGCTAAATATCCTACAGGCTGGATTCACTTCAAAACAGCAGATGTGAAATGTCCTGTAAGAAAACACCACATGGTGAATGATGCTACAAGTGGAGCAGAAAAATCCTTTCACCTGCTATTTCTGGTGCTTCCCACTCATGATTTGCAGCACCTACAGTGAAATCTCAGGTCTGAACCTCCTGTCAGTGCAAGGAAACAATGCTTCCATAACTGTGGCACTGTTTGAGACACTGCATTGTACTGAATGAGATCAACCTTTCCCTGTAGAGAGGTTTATGGAAGAGTCCCAGATAGCGTGAAGCACGTTGAGACCTTTCGTACTACCTTGACTCTGAGGCCATTCACCTAAGAGCATGCAGGTATGCAGGCTTGGAGTAATTGTGGCAGAGATCCCCTTTTTGTGGAAGTTGGAACCTCTCCACACTTAGGTCCTGATCCAGATCCATTTCAAGTTAGGGGAAAATGGTTCTCAATGAATTAAAAAAAAGCTTGGGATTAGGCCCTGTTGTGACATGCCTTGAGCTTGCTTCAGTGGTCTTATCTGCCCTAACAGAGGAAGAAGGGCAGGTAAACAGAGCATCTTGACATTTTAGTCCATGAAGTAAAAGGAGAGAGTGGGAGATAATCTATTTTGCTCACTGCTGCCTCCAAATAAGCCTTATTAGCCAAGATGCTAGTAGGTGAGGGAAGAACTGAACAAATGCTCTGGTTGTGTTGCTGGACACAGACATTCCTGAATAAGGACAGAAGGAGCGCAGCAAAGGCCTATATACTTGCATGTACGTTGTGGGGTTCAATATTCATTGCCTTTTAATGACTCCCAGCATAAATCTGCCAGATTTCTGAAGTAGCTACCAGCCTGGCAAACTGCCCCTGGGCTTTCCCCACATCTTCTCTTTGCCACCAATAATAAAAGTTTTCCAAGCAAGAGTATTCTTCTTTTCTACCTGTGCAGCCCCACTATCTAGAGCATGCCCCACCTGTCACTATCTGCAAAGACCAGGTATCAGGGGTGAGGAAGAGGAGGATTATGAGGATGATGAATTACAAAAGAAGCAGTCTGCCACTCCATAGCTTGCTCATTGCTAGTGTGAGGATTAGGGAAGAAATCATCTGATTCCTTATCGATCTGAATTGCAATGAGAAGCCAAAGACCAAAACAGCCAGATTTCCACAGGCACCTAGATGCAGCAAGGCATCTAAATGACTTGCTACATCTGTCCCTTGAATCCCTACTTAGGATTTAGAAACTTAATTTTTTAAGTATGTTTGCTTTTTTCCTTACCCGGGATAAAAAAAAAAAAATCTCAGATTTTTCTAGTCCCCAACTTCAAGGTGGTTAAAATCCAAAACTAGTTCTGGATTTAAATGTTGTCTACTTAACCTTTCAGTATTTCATACTGTACATGTCATCCTTTTCCCTTTCCATCTGCTGCCATTTATTATTTAACATTAGATTAATCTCTTCCCTTTTCAGAGAGAGTATGAAAAATGCTTTGTAGAGTAATTTTGTAGTGTGCTAAACTAAGTACATTATCTGGTAACTTAGAATTTCTTGAAAAATAACGAGTTTCATGGCTGGAAATATTAACATTATTTCTAGGAATTAGGATTGCCCTGATATAAAAGGGGTGCCAAAATTAAATGGTTTTAATATATCTGGCCTAGCTGCATTATCCAAGTTTTCACAAAGAGGGGAGAGGACCTTTAAACAGTGTTGAATAAACCGTGGCATGGAAAAATACCTTACTTACATTATCTGATAATTAAGACAGCTAAAGTCAACACAACAAATCAATTAAATCATTTATCAGAAAAGGCAGAGAAGTCAAAATCCCTCAGTACAAGAACAATGTTAGACACTACTTGGCATGATTGGTTCACATAATTCAGCCCCTTCTTTGAAGTTTTTCCCTTACCTTTGTTGTGAAATGCTTCACTGGGGATGGAAATATAACTCTTTC